AAAAAAAAAAAGAAAAAAGCCTCAAAACGAAATCCCAATAGTATCACAGCGGGTTAGGGTTACCGGCAAGCACCGCCGTCACCTTGTTTCGCAGCCCTAGCATGCAGCTCTCTCAGCCAATCGATTCCTCTACAAAGGTGTTGGCAACTGCACCGGCAGTGTGTTGCAAGCCAACCGCTATCGTTATGATATGCCAGGATGGAAGGGAAGAGGTAGGCTAATGAAGGCAGATGAAGAAAGTAGGTTAAGGCAGGTATATGAAGGAGGTTATTGTGATTAGTTTGTCGTAGTGGATTACTAAACCGTGATCCAACAAGATAAGAACGAGAGATTCCCTTGCCACGCTCTCATCTACATACACATAACTGGGCCGAGGAGTACGAAGAACCAATAAGGAATGGTATTGTTACCCGTGTAAAAGATCTAGCCGCAGTGTCAGGACGGTCTACTTTGCTCATAATCCGCCCAATTATATCAATCATTTTAGCGCCGGCTCCCCACTCACCGTAATGCCTCCGTCCGAACAATGTAGATATGGGAGGAGGTTGTTCAATTTTTTGACCCTACCACGTGATTAAAAGACCCGGTTCATATCCTTCCAACTCCTCTCACTGGCTTATCTATGGGAGAGCGGACGGGATCCCGAGTTTTTCAGTGGGTATGGTCGTATGTGCTTGTTAGATTTATTTCATGGTCTTATAAGCATACAACCTTTTCTTTGCTTACCAGACAAGGGTAAGGTTGGGGAATAGAGGTCAGGCAGTGTACAAGTCGTCGCCCCCCACAATCCGTCTGCTGTATTTATATCAGACTGCGAGGCATTCTTCCTCTCCACGATTCCATTTCCAATAACCATTCATCGTACTAATTTCCCATGCCTCGACTTTTCCTTCAATACTCGGCCGTGAGGTTACATCCTCCCCAGGCACGCCAGGCAACCACTACCCTCGCTCCCGAATCGACATGGGTGGCATCATCCCGACAACATGATTCACACATCTAGAGCCTCATCAGCCAGGAAAAAAACGATGAAGCAATTTGCGAGAATGTCACATGGCCGAAATGTTTCGGGGGAAACAGCCAGTCCATGAAATCATTTAAGCTATGAAGAGCTCGCCTCTTTTTCCGCCAATTCTTCAGTCGAGAAGCTTTCAATCATCGACACTTGTTCCAAGTTTTACAGGCTACGGTTCATAACAAAACACCCTTCCACGATGGCTTCCAGCTTTCTATCCCGCACCTGTCCGGTCGAACTGTTCCTCAAGATCTACAACGAACTCCACACCACGCAAGACGCCTTGTCTTTTGCTCTCACATGTCGACACATTAACGATGTTTGGAATCGCAATGCGACCTCCATCCTCCTGATGCTCTGGCGCCGCAATGGCAAGTTCCCAGGGGTGGAAGAGGCGCTGATTGCTGTAAGCCGTGCCCGCTGAGTTTCCATCCAAAGGCTCTCAAGCTGACAAACATGGAAAACATCAAGGCTCGCATGACCAAAGTGGTCGTTGAAGCTGAACAGGCAGGCCGTCTGCCGCCCACGGACATGCACCCCGGAGATTTCAATGTCGATCACGGTGGTGCGCCCACCACTTCAGAGCTCCAGAGTGCTCGTGCCCGCCATCACCTGGCGTGCGCTCTGTCCGTTGCGTTTTGCCACCACAATACGTATCTCCCCACGGACAGACAATGGAGGATAGACGAGGACTGTAACCAAATATCTGGACCGCCAGAGTGCACTCCGGAAGAGCCGAGTCGCATGCCCGAGTGGTCTGCTCGCGTGCACAAGGATATTTACAGGACCATGATTGTGTGACGAACCGTTACAAGCACAGGAGTATTATCGCTGGGATAGAACAATAGAGTAACGGAGTAGTAGCCAAAAGGTACTGGTAGGTTGTGATAGCTATTGCTTGCTGAAGAACCAGGTATAACGAAGGCCAGGAGGCCTTCTTATATACTGGTCTTCAACCCCGTCCCGTGGTCCCGAAAGCCCGGGACATCGGGTCCGTCCCGTGGTCCCGTAGACTCGGGACCCCGGGTCCTATCTGATTTGTCAATCTATCTAGCTTACATGAGGCTCAACGATTGGATCGTAACAGATTGCCGGAGCCGCCCTCGCTGGCATCTACAACGAGCCGCTGTTCAGGGCAAAGACGCACTCGGAACCAAGAATTCAGCAGCTTGCTCGTAATGAAGAGCAGTTAGGACGGTCCAGTATTTTCGTAAGACCAGACGCATTATCACTCGAAGAGTACTTCGCTTTCCTGAACGGCTTTCCGGTGTGCAGAGTCACCTTGCCGCCCGAGACGGAGGGAAAGCTCTTCGGGCCCCTTGCGGCATGGTTGGTAGACAACATCGTGTCGGACAAGCAGGGAAGGGAAGCCATGGAGACAAAACTCTGCGGAAGGTGGGGCCGAGGAACGGGCTGTGATTATATCCAAGAGCCATCCCCAGACTGTCCCCTCACATCAGTCGAAGGGGGGAAAGACCATTCAGATGCTCACCTTCTCATGTGGGAGATTATGCAGATTGTCTGGGCATTCATTCACATCCTGGGGGCCTTACAGGAGGACCCGAGGTCTGGAGGAGACGAACAAGGCCAAGAAGAAGAAGAAGAAGTTCGATGTGAGGGGATGGAAGAGGGATCCGCCACAGTAGAAGCTGTGGCCGTTTTCTTTGGCACCTTCCAAACTCAGCAGGTAATCGTCCCCAAGCATCTCGACTCGTTCATCGACCATCCAACATTTCGATTCAGATTCATGAACTGTAGAGGAGGTGTTGATGATGATGATGGAACAACGTACCGCATCCCATCCAAGCGCGGCCGCCTCTTCTCCACTGTGACAAGGGCAGGTTCTGAGCTTGGACAAATAGTTCAATTCCGCTGATAAACGTACTTTGGTCTCGTAAAGGGCCCTTTGTTTGGGTCCTTTCAAACCTCTAGAGGAAGGCTGGGCTTCAAGGCCTTCTTATGCCAAAGGGAAACGGTACCTATCTAGTACGTGCGGGTCCTTGTCACCTGAGGCTCCAAGGCACCTAGCGATCTGCATACATGTAGGTCTTTCTCGTATGACACCAGGAGTGTGGCATATGCCCGTTTGACAGTGTGGCATATTGTGACGAACCGTTACAAGCACAGGAGTATTATCGCTGGGATAGAACAATAGAGTAACAGTGTAGTAGCCAAAAGGTACTGGTACATTGTGATAGCTATTGCTTGCTGAAGAACCGGTAACAAGAGGCCGGGGAAGGCCTTCTTTTATACCGGTCTTCATGGACCCGATATACTGGACCCATGGACCCGGGCTTAGGACCCGGGGCTTCGGGTCCGATCTGATTGGTCGGCTAGTCTAGTCTCCATGATTGGATCGTAACACATATGCCCGTATGCCACCAGGAGTGTAGCATATGCCCGTATGCTACCAGGAGTGTGGCATATGCCCGTATGCTACCAGGAGTGTAGCATATGTCCGTGTGACACCAGGAGTGTGACATATGCCCGTTTGACAGTGTGGCATATGCCCGTATGCCACCAGGAGTGTAGCGTATGCCCGTATGCCACCAGGAGTGTAGCATATGCCCGTATGTTACCAGGAGTGTGGCATATGTCCGTGTGACATTATGCATCGCTCGCGGGAGGCCGGAGAGTTCGACTACGTACGGAGAGAGGACTTTGGAGATAGTATACTTAGCATGCAGCCAGTCGAGCTTCTTCTTGGGCGGTCGGTAGAATAGTTCTTGAGGTCAAGCCAGACTTTATCTCCAACTTGGAACCGCTCAGCCGGCTGGCGGCGCTGGTTAGCGTACTTCTCCTGTTCTTGGGCGGCGACGGCCATAGTTGCTTGACATAGGTCCGTGATTTGCTGCAGCTTTTCGACGAATTGGTGGGCTTTTTTCTCTGAAGCTAGGAGTGAAGTTGGGGGTTGCTCCTCAATAATAGAGATTGGCAATTCGGCGTCATGCTGATGGGAATGTTAATCCGGCTATTAATGGCTAACTGAGCCATCAGGCACCACCTATCCCAATCATCTTGAACGTGGTTGACGAAGGCACGAAGGTAGGCGTAGATCTCTTGATTCATTCTCTCGGGGCCGCCATCCGTCTGGGGATGGTAAGCAGTGCTGAGGAGTCGCTTAATACCCAGAAGTTCACAAAGTTTAGCCCAGAAGCGGCTCGTCCAATTAGAGCCTCGGTCACTAACAATGGACCTCGGCCACCCATGATGCCGGGCGAAGCATTGCAGGAAACGTTCCGCGCAGAGCTCAGCCTCCATTGAGGGCATAGGTTCAAGGATTACGTTTTTACTAAACCGGTCCTTGATCACCCACCAGCAAGTATTGCCATTAGACTCCGGGAGGTCCGTAATGAAGTCCATCTGTATCTCTCTGTAGTGCTGATCGGGTACTGCCAGTGGTTGCATAAGCCCCTTCTTTTGCTCTCTCCAAACCTTCATAGAGCCGTAGACGTGACAGTTACGGAGGAATTGCCTGACGTGAGCATTCAGGAGTGGCCAGTAGAAGTGCCTTATTAGGGCGGCAATGGTACCTTCTCTACCAGGATGACCGAGAACGTGGGAGTCATGAATAATTTGGATTAGAGTTGTACGAAGCGTATTGAGCTGCTGGGACTAATCTGTGAGGCTAATAGCATCCGATTCCGTACACACCGGGGCTCCAGGAATCCAGAGCCGGCCTTGGTATCGGAGCCGGCCGTGCGAGTCAATACTGCAGTCTGCAATCTGGATCTTGAGTTTGAGAGAGGGATCGAAGTGGCGCTCGTTGCTCTCAACCGCTGCTTTGACTTGCTGGTACAGGGAGTCCTTAGGGGCCGTTTGATTCCAAAGCTGCTGCAAATCCGGATCTTCAACACTTCACCGCTTCCCCCCCCCCCCCCCTCTTCCCCAGCGAACTACGCGAGACGCGGAGATGTGAAGTGGAGAATAACTTTCAAGGGCTGCATCCGGAATCATCTGTAGGTCGCGGGGCCTCCCGGTCCTCCTCTGTAGGCATATCCTGCTCCCAGCGGGACAAAGCGTCGGGGGCTACACTGTCCTTACCCCGGGCGGTACTTGATGCTGAAATTGAACCGTGACAGATATTCCGCCCAGCGAGCTTGACGTTCCGAGAGCCGCTGCATCTTCATAAAGTATTCCAAGTTCCGGTGGTCAGTGAGAATGATAAACGACTCGCAGCTCCTTAATTCAGCCGACCATTGCTCCAGACAGCTAATAATTGCTAGCATTTCCTTATCGTGAACAGGGTAGTTCCATTCAGCAGTATTGAGTTTCCGGGAGTGATAACCAACAACTGCTCGCTTGCCGGAATCATCGACTTCTTGAGAGATTACACCGCCCAAGGCAAAGCCACTGCAGTCCGTCTCGAGGAACGTCTTCCGATCTGGGTCAAACTCCGTAAGGATGGGGGCTCGAGTGAAGAGCGTTTTCAGCAGTTGGAAAGCGCTTTCACACTCCTTAGTCCATTCAAAAGTGACTCCCTTCCCGGTTAATGCCGTAAGCGGAGCGACAAATTTTGAGAACTGGGGTATGAACATCTGGTAGTAGTTAACGAACCCGAGGAAGCTTCTCACCCCCTTTTGCGAATTAGGAGGAAGCCATTCTAGGATCGCCTTGACCTTCTCGGGGTCGGCCTGAACGCCGACGCCAGCGTGAACAATGAACCCCAAGCACTTGACCTTCTTGACTGCGAATTCGCACTTATCGGGGTCCAGATGCAAGCCTGCGTCTAAGAGCTTCTCAAGTACCAAGCGGACTTTTTCCTCATGCTCTTCTTTCGTGCCTGAGGTATAGATTAAGACATCACCCATGTAAGCTGTGCAGAAGTCGTCCAAATATTCCCGCAAAATGTAGTTGATATACCGCTGGAACGTAGCTGGCGCGCCTGTTAACCCGAAGGGGACCACAAACCACTCAAAAAGCCCGTAACTGGTCCTGAAAGCCGTTTTCCATTCCTCTCCCATAGCCATGCGTATCTTGTGAAACGCCTGAACGACATCCACCTTGGTATACCACTTGGCTCCTTTCAAGACACGGAACGTCTCGCTGATGAGCAGTAGGGGATAGCGATCTGCTCTGGTGATAGCATTGAGAGCACGGTAGTCGCAACAGAAGCGGAGACCTCCTCCTGGCTTTCATACGAACAAGACTGGGGCTCCCGCTTCTAAGCTACTAGTGCGGATGAACCCTTTGTCTAGAAAATCCTTAAGTGTTTTCTTCAAGACTAGAAGCTCTTCGCGGGCCATATTGTAGAGCGGCCCAAAGGGGACTGGTAATTCCTTGCCATCGGGGCCCTTTTTGAGCTCGATCTTGTGGTCGACACCGGGACGATGAGGGTTGGCCTTGTCCGCTTCCTCTTTTATCCAGAGGGGTAAGAGATCATGGTACTTTTCGGGAATCTTTTCGCGGAGCTGTTCCTCAGTGTAGATTTTCTTCGGTTTTAAAGCTTTCTCAACGTCCCTTAGGCTAACTGCAAAAATAGCCTCTTCTGCAGCTCGGCCGCCGAACTCTTTCCGAAGCCGGCGAACGTGGCCTACGAAGGTGGTCGCCATGACGTGGATTGCGGACTTGATATCTTTGATGAACTGGGTGTCGGGGACCTGCTCGCCACCTATATGAGGAACCCAGTGATTGGTGATGCCCATCCACATCCGTTTCTCGTGGGGTACAGAGTAAGCGCGCATGGCCTTCAACCACGGCTTGCCCAGGATGATGGGGAATTCCAGGAGCAGAACTACATAGGCACAGATTGGGTGAACATAACCATCAACTTCGGCTAGGAAGTAAGCGAGTCCTTGTATTGTGGCCGCCTCCATTGCGGCGGAGGGTCCTTTAACGCAGCGAGACTTGATGGGAAAGATGGGGATTCTCAAATCTTCGACGACTTTCTCGCTAATCGCGGCATAGTACTGGCAACCCTCATCAACGAGGACGTGGAACAAGTCACGGTTGTTAACAACGAGTGGAATTAGCGTAGGCTCTATCTCCAAATGCGACTTTGACTTGAACTCTTCCACCTTGCCTAGTACATATGTTTGCTCCGGGGCCCGACTTCGCACCGGAGCTATTCTTTTCCCTGCTCGGAAGTGGAGCTCTCATCCTCCTCTTCCAAGAGCGGAGGGACCTCAATGGCGGTACCCTGGGTGCGGACATTGTTGGAGGGGGGAACCGCGGGCTGGTATGGGCAAGAGCCTACATAATGGCCAGAGGCACCGCATCGAAGGCAAAGGTTATTGTCTCGACGTTTCTGCCGTTCTTTTTCCGAGACCCACTTGGCGCGCTTAGAGGAATAGGTGGCCGGGTTTAAACCGCCTCGCCCTCGACTGCCACGACCTCTTCCAACGCGAGTCGACCCCATAATGGTGTCACCATCAGCATTTACCGGGGCCGATAGGGAAGAAGAGGTTGACTGAGGCTGGGATTGCGGCCCCTGAGTGTTACCAACGCTCAATGCTGGAAGGTAATAATTATTCGAGGAGCGGCTCCGATTCCTCTGGCCGCGGAGGTACTTGTGGTGATCCTCCTTGAACTCACTGGTCTGCTCATACTTCGCCGCATGGTACTGTAACTGGGCTACACAGGTGCGGTAGTCATCCGAGAGCGAGACTGTGAAGAGCTTGTCGAGAGCGGAGTCGCGCATCTGGTAGGCACCGAAAATGATGCGAATCTGATCGAGAAGGGCCACCGGGTCGTCGTCACCGCTAGCGGTTTTGGCGGTCCAAAAGCCTTCCAACCGCTGCTGTTTGTCGAGCGGAAGGGTGTCAAGAATCTCAATCCATGCCGCTTCTCGGTCGGTGCGTACTCCTGCCTTGATGTCGGCGTTGTACGTTTGACAAGTTTGTTATAGTAGAATTGGAAAGTATGAGGTTGTCCATCCCATATGGGAAGTGTAAGTGGCTTTCGTCTGTATGAGGTGCCTTGGCTTGAATCAGCAGGGGCACCTCTAGCGGCCGAGGCCGCATTTCTGCTGGGAGCTCCGGTCACGGGAGCTTGGGCCGCGGGACTGAAGTCCAGTCGCGGGGCAAGGATAGGGGGTGGATTGGAGTTAAAGAGAAGGGACTTAACACGATCGCGGAGTGATGCACTTCCACTGAGTGCCTTCAAGAGCCCTTTCACGAGGCCGTCGCTGGGGGTACTGCTGTCTCCTTCTGGTTGTTCGCCGCCATCTTGGGAATCGTGGAACTCCTCGAATTCGTCGAGATCCATTTTGGTAAGTCCGACCATACTGGCTAAAAATGCCGCAACGCCGCGCTCTAAGCTGCTGGCTCCGTCTCTGAATGAAGTGAAATCCGTCTTGTCCGCTACTGCTCTCTCTCTCTGATAGGTGGTAGAACCTAATGTAAGGGGTACAGCATAGTTGACACAGATGCTGGCCAAAAGAATTGATAAGGTTCTACAAAGAGAGAAGAGGAGAAAAGGACACCCTCTGGGCAGTCTGGCCGGCTGTCCTAAAGAAGAGACGTGCGCGCGCACAGGCCAATGTTGCCTGCCGCGAGAGTGGAGCACTCGCCTGGCAAGATTGCCAGGCATTTCGGCCACGGGCACTAGCCACATGACATATAGTTTTTTTTTTTTTATAATTCAAAGAAATATAAGAAACTGTTATTAAATAAATTAAACGTAAACTAATATTGTACAAATTGTAATAGACTAATTATCTTATACAATATTATTTTAATTACAAGCAGCGTACTACATCAGCCAACTGTCATGGGGCTGGCGCCTAGGGGTGTTTGCCTGGCTTGAACTCTATGAAAGCCAGGCCTGCCCTCTGACTGGGTGCACTCCTGGGGTATGCCGCACGAACCACATTTTCGACCTTGGCGTTTCTAGCACCTTCGATATACGCACCTCTCTTGTGTATTTAGCTGTAAGCTCCATGCCATACTGGCACAGACTTCCCTTTTCCTCTTTGTCGAATATTATCACTTTCACCAAGGCCTACCTGTGTGTATACCTCGTAGAACCCTTACACCAACAAATTTAATAATAATTCTATAAAATTGTATAAATTATTAATTCGTAATAAATTAATTAATGTTT